CGCAGGGGAGGGGGCGGAGCGTTCAGGGGAGGGGAGGAGGGGGAAGTGAGCTGGGGGCGGGGCGGACAGCTGCAGCGCGGGGCCCTCTTGGCGCGGGGCCCAATTCAGCCGAATCGGCTGAATCGGCCTAAAGCCGGCCCTGCAGGCCGGGACGCTCACTCCCAGCTGCAGCATAGACATATCCTATATGTCCATGGCTAGGGCCCTCACTCCTGGAGTCATGTGACTTTGTCAGACTCTCAGCTTTTTTCTTTTTAAAGCATGTTTCCACCTCTCATTGTTCCCAAGAAATGTTTGAAAACATGAATGAAGGGCAAATAATGTAGTGATATCTGCCTGAGTTTGCAGACCGCTTGAAAATAAAGCTCTGACAAAGATGAGTTTCCTCATTCACCTCTAAGGCTCCCTGCTCTGGGGTACCCTACCTAAACCACCCCAGGAGAAGACTGTATGTGTGGCAGGAGCCCACTCATCCATCCACTCATCCAGACACAGTCCATTTTCTGGGTCAAGTGTAGGGTACTTCACTAGAGTGAGGTCCCTGCTGCCAATTCTGAGGGAAAGATAGCCCCATGATGCTGTCCTTACCTCCTTGTAAAGAGGAGTGGGGTCCCACCTGCTAACACAACACCAACAGGGGATAGGACTATGATGCGGGGCCGCAGAGGCAGAGCGCTGGAGGGCCCCATGCCTAGCACCAAAGACTGACGTAATCTGGTCCGGTAGAGGGGTGGCGGGTATTTCTAGTAAGAAGCTGGCTGCGCTCCTGGTTGCAGAGCTGGGTGGCTGGACAGTCGCAGCAGATGTCTCAGGGCCCAGCTCTGCAGGCAGCAGCGCAGAAGGGTGGCAACACCATAACAGGCCATCCTTCCTTCTGTGCTGCTGCTGGCGGTGGCTCTGCCTTCAGAGCTGGGCTCCTGGCCAGCAGCTGCCGCTCACCAGCTGCCCAGCTCTGAAGGCAGCATCACCACCAGCAGCAGCACAGAAGTAAAGGTAACAGTACCGCAATCCCCCCTCCAATAACCTTATGCCCTTTCACAACTCCTTTTTGGGTCAAGACCCCTACATTTACAGCACCATGAAATTCAAATTTAAATAGCTGAAATCACTAAAGTTATGATTGTTAAAATCCTATGACAGTGAAATTGACCAAAATGGACCCTGAATCTGATAGGGCCCTATATGAGTAAACTTGGCAGAATTGAATTTTTTTTTTTAATTTTGATTGATAATGTATATTTTAGGTTTTTTTTTTAATTTTATATATTTACATTTTCACAGTTGTGGGAAATTATGGAGGTGTCACACAATTAATTATTTAATAGCCATAAATGTTGATTCAAACATTTAAAGCGTTATAACCATTAAAACACAAATTGTCAATTTCACATCAAAATATACAAAGTAAATATCCTTAAATCAAACTAAGTTTTTATGCAGCATTGTTCTTACTTTGCCTATCCATAACTTTTGATGATCCTTGATGAAAATATTTTTCTTCAGTTTGTGTGTGTGTGTGTGGTGAAATCAATGTATACTGATACTTACAAATACAAAATCTAATCCTTCCAAGCCTAGTTATGAGTGAAAGTTACTAGGTGTCTGTAGAGGAACTATCTGTATGGTAGCTGCTCCCTGCTAGGTATCTGTGGAGGGAGAGCTGAGGTGCATATGGGGATGCTGGATGTCTCTGCTGGGCGGGACTGGTGTGTGTGAGGTGCTGGCGATGTGGTGGGGAGTTGGATGGTGGTGCTTCTGAGTGGTACTGAGGGATGCGGGGGGTGGGTGGAGGGAAGTTGGCTGGGGTGTAGGATGGTGGTGTCTTTGGGGGGAATGAAGATATGGGGGTGTCAGATGGGAGGGTTTCTGAGGGGAGTGGGGAGTAGGATGGAAGTGTCTCTGGGGAGAGGTGGGGGAGCAGGATGGAGATGTAGGATGGGGAGCTTCTGGGGGGAGTGGGGAGGTGTGGGGAGGATGGAGGTGTCTATAGGGAGAGTGTGCAGAGGTGTCTCTGGGGAGATGTGTGGGAGTAGTATGGGGGAGATCTCTGGCCGAAGTATGGGGAGTAGGATGGAGGGGTCTCTGGGGGGAGATGGTGTGAGGATGCTGGGGTGTAGGATGGGAGGATCTGTAGAGGAAGAGGGGAGGTGTGGGGAGTAGGATGGAGATGTCTCTGGGAAGAGAGGATGTGAGGATGTTAGGATGTTAGGATGTTGGGAGTGTAGGATGGGGGTCTCTGGGGGAAGGGAGACCTATGGGGAGGAGGATGGAGGTGTCTCTGGGGGGAGATGGTGTGAGGATGCTGGGGTGTAGGATGGGAGGATCTGTAGAGGAAGAGGGGAGGTGTGGGGAGTAGGATGGAGATGTCTCGTGGGAAGAGAGGATGTGAGGATGTTGGGAGTGTAGGATGGGGGTCTCTGGGGGAAGGGAGACCTATGGGGAGGAGGGTGGAGGTGTCTCTGGGGGGAGAGGGTGTGAGGAGGTTGGGGGTGTTCGATGGGGAGTCTCTATGGGAAGGGGGAGGTGTGGGGAGTAGGATGGAGGTGTCTCTGGGGGAAGACGAGAGGTGTGGGGAGTAGGATGGAGGTGTCTCTGGGGCGAGAGAGTGTGAGGATGTTGGTGTGCAGGATGGGGGGCGGTCTGTAAGTATGGGGAATAAGATGGAGGTGTCTGTGGGGGAAAGGGTGTAAGGATGTTGGGGTGTAGGATGGGGGGGTCTCTGGAGGAAGGGGTGATGTGTGAGATGGAGGTGTCTCTGGGAGGAGAGGGTGTGAGGATGTTGGTGTATAGGACCGGGGTCTCTGGGGGAAAGGGGAGAGATTCAGGGAGTAGGATGGAGGTGCCTCTGGGGAGATGTGGAGGAGTAGGGTGCTGTGTCTCGGGAGCGTGTGGGGTGCAGGATGGGGTCTCTAGGGAAAGGGGGGCGTGCGGGGAGTACGATGGGGGGGTGAGGAGATGGGGGGCGGGGGGTCTCTGCAGGAGGGTGGAGTCGGTACTGGTGAACCGGGAAGTGGGCGGGCTCGTCAGCCGCTGGATGTGTGGAGCTCCGAGGGGCCGCCCTTCCCCCTGCCGCCCGCTAGATGGCGCCTCTCACACGCCGCAGCGCCTCTCTGATTCCTGGCGCCCGGTTGTGCTCCAGTGGGGCGGGTTGGCGGCGGCAGAAGCACCACCCTGAGGCCGCTGGCTTGAGCTCCTGCCGCAGAGGGAGGCGGGGAGCCAAACGCGCCGCTCCCCTCCCCGCGCGGGCTGCGGCCGCTGCCAGGATGCCTCGGGAGCGCGGCGGCAGCTGCTGGCTGCTCCCCGCGCTGCTGCTCCTGCCGCCGCTCTGCGCGCCGGGTGAGTGGCCGGGGGGCTTCGCTCTGCGCGCTGTTGGCGGGGGAGAGACTCGGGCATGGGGGGCGGCGGCACCGGAGCCGCAGCGGCCGCTCGCCTCCTCTCCGCGGGCGGGAAGTGGCCGCGGAGGGACGTTCCCCTTTCCTCGAAGTTTGTTGGTGGGATGGGCTGGGAGAGGAGGCGAGCAGCCGCCTCCCCGGGCCTCCGCACGGCGCCCTCTGTCGCCTGCCCGCCGGCCGGAGGCTGCCCGGACTCGGAGCGTCCCGTGCCGGGCGGGAGGCTCTGTGGTGAGGGCCGGGAGCCCTTCGCTTTTTCCGCCCGGGGGTGCTGCTGGCCGTTGGCCGCGAGCTCCGGGGCGGGGTCGGGTCCCGCGCTGTTCCCCTGACACTGGGGAAGGGACCGCAGCCTCCCTTAGTTAGCCTGGCGGCCGGCCGGGGAGCCTCGGGGGGTGCAGCCTCCCCCAGAGCCCCAGCCCCGCGGGCGGGGGTGCCAGGGCCGGGGTTGTGTCTGGTGCTGTTTGTGAAGTGCTGGTTGCGTAGAGTCTGAATCACAGACAGGTAGTGCTGGGGAGCCCCAGCGCTGTGCAGGACCAGGGAAACCTACACCAGCCTTGACAGGTGTTTCTCCAACCTGCTCTTAAAAATCTCCAGTGAGGGGAATTCCACAAGTCTAGGTAGAGTCCTAGAGAAATAACCAACTCTTAAGGCTGGATGGAGACCCAGTCAGGTAAAAGTCAAGTGTTTTAAAAACTAAATAATTCTTACATCCATTCCAAATAGCCGTTTAGGCCAGGGGTACTGCAGTGTTTTTAGGATGTGTGGAGCACCTCTTAATACAGAAGAGTGTCATGGAGCATCTCCCCATCTATCGATATTGCAAGGATCAATTGCTAACATGAAAAAGGAAATACTTTCCCAGTATTAATGTGGTTTACCTGACCTGTAATATGCTTTGGCAGATGGGAGAATAAAAGAGGAGAGTTAGTCCCATGTGAGTAGCCGGCTTTCCACAGCCCAGTGGTCTGTGTACCACAGTTTGGAAACCACTGCCTTGAATGGGTAAAAATGAAAGACTCTTCCAAATCTAATTTGTTTTTCATTATTTGTGCTCTGAAAACATTTCTCTCATCTTGGAGAATAATATAGCATTGTCAATTTGTTCTTAACCAACCTTGATATCTCGTTCTTTTTCACTAGTGCAATTTTGGGGTTGCAAACCCTGCAGGGGAATATTTAAATATAAACAAACTTCAAACTGAAATAAAAATATTGATTTTTTTTCTTTCTTGTAAAGTTTATCTTCCTCACCAAAATAACTGCATTTTGGGATTAAACTACCTCAGTCTCTTTTCAATGCCATATTTCAATCCCTCTCAGGATGAAGGATTTTGCTTAACTGTAAATATCTCACTGAAACGGTTTTCCTGATGAAGGTGAATCTCCCTTCCTCCATCCTCTCATCCCAGCCTTAGAATAGAAGCTTCAAGTTTATTGCTGTGTAAGGGGAAAGTCAGTCAGTTTTTAAAAAAACCTTAAAAATTAATTAACTTCAAAAGGGGGAGAGGGCAATGGAATTGTAGGTGTGTGGACCCAATTAAAGTCAATGGGTGTCAGTATGGGTTTAGGGATTTGCTCACATGGACCTCATTGCAGGATCAGAACCTTGGTTTGCATAGTCTTAGAAATATCCTTTTCTTTTATGCTAAAAGCAGCCTCTTCTTTCACAAGCATCCTGCGCTTTTGAGATGGCAGAGGGAAAGTTGAATATTTCTGAACAGTGTTAAACATTCTTATCCATTGCCATTTTACAAAAAAGGGGTAAAGGTAATTAGATATCTTAGAACTTTCTTCTACCAAATGTATTTGCTGGTAACATGCACAGTGAAAAAAATATTTATATAGTTTTATACTTAGTCTTATGCTCAAGACTTTTTTCATAAAGAAGCACAATAGAATGACCCCCTCCTCCCAACCCCCCCATCTTATTTTTCATATAAAGAGATTGTGTACATAATAAACAATTTAAGGAATAATTTTTAATAGTTTAAAATGGTGACTTCAGCTTGAATATTTTTTCATACATGTCTCAGTTGCTTCTTTAAGGAGCTAATCTAAAAAATTAAATGTGACTTGTTTTAATTGCCTTACATAATGTTTGGGGTGCTGGAGCTCACAATACTCCTAAAATCTCTGGCCTAACAAGTTTGTAGCACTAATAAGACTTTGCTCTTTACTGGTTAGGTTAGAAGCCTTTGAAGTTAATAGGGCAGTAGCAGTCAAGAAGAGCTGGTATAAAAACTTCAGTGTAAATAGATAAGACTGATTTATTTTGCCTCTTTACTGCTCCTGGGTTGTCTCAGTATCGAAGACCCCAATCTGTCTGAGTGACAGCAGCAATGTAGATGTTACCTTGGGAAACATATCAAGCCATAAACCCTGGTGTCCTGTGAGAATCTGACAAAGGCAGCAAAATAATACAGAGAGACTCGGGCTGAAAGGATCTTTTTCATTAAATGATAATTAGTAAAAGTCCAAGGAGCCCCTGTCTTGCATGCTGTACCTATAAGAGGCAGTAATATCAGCTGTTTCAGCATTCTAAACCGAGCTGTTCCAAGTATTTCAAATTTTTGAAAACTGTTTATTGACCATGGTTTTTTGACATACATATAAACAATAACACATGAAAAGACTCTCATAAGATAAGGGATAATATCATAGTTTTCCCTTAGCTCGTTAAAAGACTGATGTAAAGCGTCTCAACTGGAAAGACTCCCGTTGATTCAAAGCTCCCTGAAGTCAGGCCCTCAAAGAGGAAGATACAATAAATGTTCTTTAGTCCCTTGGTATATGCTTTAGTATGGTCTGGTTATACCATGCTTTTGCTCTTAGAAATGTTTTAAAATATTTATAACTTAAAATGAGTAAAAATCTTTCATTTAAGTGTGTGGAAGCTCCTCTTGTTTCTAAAAGGGAACACTTAAAATGTTTTTCTTTACATTTACATTATTATAGAATCAAGGTTCATAATAGTCTGCTGTTTACCTGTTGAGCAATGGAAAAGATAAGTGAGAGTACTGGAGAGGGAAAGCTATCTGCCAGTGACCTTTCCAATCCCAATTTTCGTCGTCGTAATGGGGAACTTTAGAAAAAGATCAATAGTAATTAAAAGCAATTATTTTACTTTCCCGGATTTCAATTTTCAGTTTTGGTGGAAATGGTCTGAAAACCAAGGAGTCTGACTTTTTCTGCTGATTCTGGTTTCCATTTCTGTTATCAAAGGAAACAGATATCAAAGTGGTAAAAGTGAGGACAGAGTTTTAAATATCTAAAAGTGCTCTGCTCTCCTTTACCTTATTCAACTTCAGTTACTATGGAAGTAGAATCAGAATGGCTACTGGTAGCCAGCCAGAGAGGGTGAGGACTGGAACTTGACATTTTCAACTTGCTGTGCAAATCACATAAACAACTACAGGTGCCAACCAGGTCAAAGTCTACAATACTTGAAATATGAAAAATGTGAACTTAAAATAGCAGGTAACACTTATGTGATTTCCTTACTATTTTTTCTTAGACAATTGTAAAGATTGCCTGCAAGGTAAATTGATTAATAAGTTTGACTTATGTGGTTTCTCTTGGTGCCTCCACAACTGGAACATTCGCTAGCTAATCAAATTCTTCTCATAATTCTTTTATGATGATCATGTAACATGGTAACTATTCACAGGGGTGCGTGTGGTATATGTATATTGGTTGACAAACATTAGGGGATTGGAAGTGTTTCTGGAATTGGGAGGGCAGAGTGCGCATTTGGGCCCTTCTGAGTTTGGGGACCCAATAGGTCTCTTCTGAGAAACATTTAAATGAAACATACTGCAATTGTCTGAATTTGTGACAATGTTTGGAGAAAGGCCACTGTTGTTGTTGTTATATGTATTGTGGTGGTGACTAGGAGCCCCAGTGTTGGACCAGGACTGCATTGGCACAGAACAGTCAGACAGTCCCTACTCCAAAGAGCTTACAGTCTAGTCTGCTGGGTTCTGCCTTGTGCCTTCTTTTCAGAGCACTGAGTAATCTACCTAGGGAGTGGTTCCTGAGTATTAAGAAATTCTCTGAGCAGTCATTTTCTACTGATTGTCTGCCAAAAGATAATTCAATATTTGTGCGTGTTAAACTCTAAAGCCACTAGTGGCCTATGTGAATATTTGAAAAGTCTTCCCAGTTTGCTTAGTGCGAAGGATACAAAGTAAGTTTTTGTGCTTATCTGTTGGAGAAGAGCAGGGCTGAGAATGTAAAATTATCAGGAAGAAGGATAGTGACACATTTAGACTACCAGTGTCATTATAGTGGAGTCGCATCATAAGCGTATTTAACTTATGTGATTTTAACTGTACGCGCTTGGCAAAACAAAAAAAGAGAAAAATAACAATTTAAATACTGTACCTGTAGTGAGGGCGATTCCGCCTGCCATTCCACTCAATGAGCGTTTGACTATATGCGATTTTCGCCTTACGTACTGACTTCAGAACCTAACCCCCTGCGTAAGATGCGACTCCCCTGTACTCTTCTGGACTATGTCCAAAAAGTGAATTTTGGTGGCCATAGAAACTGCATATGAGAGTGTCCCAGGTGAACAGCAGAAGTAGGAGATGGAAAGAACAGATTTAGCAAGGCATGTGGGATCCACGTACCTTTTGACAATATAAAAAAAGAGAGATTTATAACCTACTTCTTCTCTATATAACTCCTTAGATTTTTTTCTGTGCTGTCAAGGATATAGTACAGTCTAGGTCTTTTTTCCAGGTTAGCTGTGTAAGCCTTGATTTGTTTCAAGGATCCTGTAGATTTATAAAATATTAATCTCAGAAGCTGTGTTGCATGAGTTACTTAAAGGTCTGATGAGAAAGGAAGTATTTCTTTTCAGTCTCAGTTGCATATTAAAATCAGATCTCTTTATGCAACCCCTCACCGGCATGTTAAAAATCGAGAATAATGAAACTCAATATTTATGTTGCAGTCATGCAAAGCAACACAATTTACCTGGTGATACATCATCTTCAGGTTAATGCCTTGCAAATATTAAGTTTCCCAAAAGATGCTTTCTTGCTTTGATCTTGAAATTAGAATTCTGTCAAATAGAGGACATGGAGCTGTTTTGCCTATGCAAGGTATTCCTTGTGTAGTGCTCCAAATGCAGTTATTTTGATTCATGTAGTGGATAGAGGATAAGGTTTTGAGGTTTTCAGACCGAGATAAAATTAGTGTTTGGCAACGTCTGCATTAGTGAGCTTACAGTGGCACAGCTGAACCAACACAGCTCTCCCGCCGACATAGCGCTTCTGTTGGTATATCTCATGTCGCTCAGGGTGTGTGTTTTTTCACACCCCTGAGCGACAAATGTTATACCGACAAAAATGGTAGTGTAGCCTTTGTTGTTCATTAGAAAACACTGGAGTTCTCAAAACACATTGTGTCCTTTCAAAATAGAAGTGCAAAATGATTTCTTAGTCTCTGATTTGAAAATAAATAACATTGTGCGGGTAGATCCTGCACTAATGGAGAGTCCCATTGAATCCCATGGGTCCTCCCATGCGTAACCCCTGAAAGAACTGGGGCCTCAATCAAATCAAGTCTTCTCCATTAGATGTTTTGGGGTGGCTGTTTACCAGTGTTTTCTTGTCTTCACTGGTATGAGTTAGAGATTAGTTTCGACAGTAGCTGAGATGTTGTCATGAAATACAGATCCTAGATATTTACTGACATTTGGGCTCCAATTTAAAGGGTATGGGGCTATGGAGAACCAGAGATGAAAAAGCAAGAGTTGGGACAATCCTGCCTAGTCCTTCTCCTAAATTACAAGATGCCTAGTGGGGATACTATTTACTAGTATTCTGGCTAAGCAGATTTATAAAGAGTAGCTATTCATTTTTTAAAAACTTCATTCCAAACTATATATGTTTAAAAGCTGCAATAAGAAACTTCATCTGACCCAGTAGAAGGCTTTCTCGGTGTCAAGGGAAACAGTAAATGTGTAATAGTGACCAGGCTGAGTGGAGTCTTTGGAGCCTTCCTTAAATTGTAGCAGTTTTGGTTCAGAATACTTTTCACTTCTCTGTCACCTTTAATTAAAAAAATCTTAATCTTTACAACACCTCAGCCCCCTATGGTAAATATCCCCATTTTACAGGCAGGTAAACTGAGACATAATTGGATAAAAAGTTACATTGGGAAGGGAGCAGAAAAATTATTTTTTTTCTAAAGTTTAAGTATTTAAAATTTGAAAAAAAGATTTTTATTAATGTGGACATGTGTGCTCCTAAGGCAGTTTCAACTTACCAAGATAATATTAGGTCAGCCCAAATTGGGAGCCTGGGCCTCGATTCATCCCTGCTAATTTCTAATTGGACCTCCTTTCCCCATGCATTAGAAACCGCTATACTGCTGTTCAGAGTATGTGACCAAGAAATATGATGGCCCTCTTCAATTATGACAGTTTTATGCCAGCTCCTGACAGTATTTCAGAGAGTTTGTGTATGAACTCGCCTTCACGCTGGATATTCAGTGGGTCTTCTCTATAATATATAAACACAACCCTTAACCTCAGGGTAGAGTGAAATCTAGGTCCTCCCATATGAAAGCACATTGTATTATCATCTGAATCATTGGACTGGCCAGATGTTTTTTCTTTTTTTAATGAGATTTATTTTGACTTGAAGCCAAAATCAGTTGGCCTCACATCAAAGAACAATTTTCTGTTCAGAGATGTATGATAACAAAATTGTCAGGCTACAGCAGTGCAGCTTCTCAAACAGCAGGTTGTCTAATGGTTGAAAAGATTATCACAAATATTCTCCACATTAAGTGACTCTATTACCTAAATTGCTTTCTTGTCTTATATAGATAGAACTTTGTCCAATGTGATGATCAACTACTGTATTTTGAAAAAATATTTTTTTTGCTTTTTCCCCCCCCAGCTTTGACTATAAGTGTAGCTGCTGAAGATGCAAAGGAACAGATTGAGCAACTGGTATCACAGGTAGTAAATTCTAATTCTGTCCCAGCAGTAATGTACTGTCTAGATTATAAAATCTTTGGGGCAGAGACTGTGGGTAAAATTCTGACCCGTTTGAACTCAGTGAGAGCTTTGTCATTGACTTCATTGGAGCCAGGACCTAATGCTGTCTTTTTTTCTCTGGGGCACCTAGCACATCTTTAGTAATACCACTTTTCTAGAGCCTCTATCTTACAGCTTTTCCCACCCAAAGTTTTCTTAGAATGACCACAGCTAGTCCTATATTGATTTTATTCATTTCAGTCCCTTTCTTAAACTGGATCAAATATATTTTGATATTTGTATTTTAAGAGTTATAGCTTTATTTTATTTAACATATCAATTTTTCTAACAGAAATCTTGTAAAATTTGTTTCACAACTTAGACATAAATCTAGTATATATACAATTATAAATTGGCCTATGGAAGTCCCCAAATCTGCATTGCTGAGACCTGCAACTGTAAAATTCTTCCATTTTGTGGTACTGATCACATATTGTGGTAGCTGCTTTCCTACTCTGTCTTCCTCTTCTGTCTTGCCAGTTGATTATGTCAGTTAAAGTCTTTCATTATCACATGTTTAGGTAGGTTTTTTTGTACAGTAAGCAGTGTGCTTTGGCATGACAAGGAGTCACTCTATAAATAAAATTATTGTATTAAGTAATTGGAGGACAGAAACGTTTTTCCTTTCCAGTACTCATTTAAATGTAGAGTAAAAACCTTAATCTATATTTAAAATTTTATTTTTAGTAGTTAGCAGTTATAATATAATAATATATGGAGATATACCTGTCTCATAGAACTGGAAAGGACCCCGAAAGGTCATCGAATCCAGCCCCCTGCCTTCACTAGCAGGACTAAGTACTGATTTTGCCCCAGATCCCTAAGTGGCCCCCTCAAGGATTGAACTCATAACCCTGGGTTTAACAGGCCAATGCTTAAACCACTGAGCTATCCCAGTTCACAAAGTTATCTGACTAAATTTTGAACACTTAACACTATCAACACAGAGCTCCTCCCAGTCTTCATTTTATATGTGTGTATGTCCATATACCTGCTTGGTTAGTGGGGATAGGAAGTGTTAAGTTTTACTTCTTTGTTGATTTTGAATAATATAGAATAACTTGAGGAGCAAATGGGTGCCTTTCTGCTAAATTATATCTGACATATTTCTGTGCATGCCACTGTGCAAATAAAACTTGCATATCTAATTTTTACGTTGTGAGAGCACCACATATGTAACTCTTAAGTTCAGGTAAAGCCATCCCTGCCCCCATTTAGTTGAATAACAAAATTGCTAGGGTTTGGGTTTAAAAAAACAAAACAAATCAGAACCAAAAGCTAATTAGTCAGGAATAGACTCTGTGAGCAATATCTACCTTTTATTCTTAATCATTTGAAGAATTTGCATCCAGTAATCTCTTGGCATCATCACAGTCAAAGAGCTCATTAATATATTTATAAATCTTAATTTTTGCTGGATATAAAATTGCTACTCCAGCATTAATCTTAATAAATTCAGATTTCTGAACCACAAACTTTTGATGTACTGACATACATGCATTCTGGTATGAAAGCTAAGTCGTCATATTTTCATTACCATCAGTTGCTTTTTTGTTTGGCTACTTCCAATGTAACTTCTCAGTCAAACGTAGAACTAAAAGAAACAATGGAAATCTTGCTTCTGTCACTTTCCAGAGTATGCTCTTTGCTTGTCATGCTCATTATGAAGTTCTTCCCATTAAGTTAGAATTCCAAAAACTTCACTCAAATTAATTTAATCCCTATAAAAGTGTTCTCTTGAGAATTCTGTAGACTGTAATCCTCTATTTATAGAACAGAAATGGCACAAGTGACAACTGTGCCAAGCTTCACCATATAACCCTGTGTGCTCACCAGTAAAAACTTGAATTACCTGGCAGTTTTGGAGGACATTCCTGTACTTAAAATGACATACTGTTCTATCAATTGATAATAAGCAACCACTATCTGTCTGTGACCCCTGAAAGAGCTTACTCTTTAGAGAAAATTCCTCAACTGGCTTTTCTTTTAACATTGTGGATGAGGGCTAACTCAAGGTCAGAGAAGAGGCTACAAAGACCAATATTGCTCCCATTATGGAGAGCACCTGAGGGTATGTCTCATTGTAGCTGAGAGGGGTGATTCCCAGTGCAGGTAGACAAATTTGTGCCAGCTCACCTCAAGTTAGCATGGTTGGGCGGCTAGCTTGAGCTGCTGCCAGTGCTGCAATGTCCACGCTGCTATTTTTAGCGTGCTAGTTTAAGGTGAGCAAGCTAGAGTGAGTCTGTCTACTTGCACCGGAAATCACCCCTCCCAGCTGTAGTGTAGAATATCTGAGAGAGTTAGAGGATGGCTTATTGGTAGGCTAAGAGGCACACGTCCAGGATAGAAGCATTATGGATTACAAATGAAATCCAACTTCTGTTTTGTTTATGTTCATGTGCAAGGCCTTTCTCTCTCCTTGGCTTATGAAATGTGTTGGGTATGCTAGGTGTTGGACTGTGGGGATTTTGTGTGTGGTTGATTAATTTGTTATATTTATGTTGAGGCTGTGTATTTGAGTTGATCTGGGGGAATTGTTGGGTCTGCTTATTTTAGTGTATTTTTAAAAAAACAGTTAAGGATGCCCAGAGAATTAGATGACTGCTCTTTTTATTATGTTTATAGATCAAACTAACAAATCAAATGCATAATGTTAGTGTTAATTTTAATTTTTAAAAAGAACAACTGATATCAGGTTTTGCCCTGTTTGTTTTTACAAATTATTTTGAGTCTGAGGGCTGTATGTCCAGTAAGGGTAAGTGTCTCCTCCAGATGCTCTCTGACAGCTGTGTCGGAGAGCAAGGTTATGTGTGCATCATACGTCTGCGTGGAAGGTCTGTCTTCAAAAGTCAGTGGCCTACTCTTCATGGCTATTCTGCCCTTGACTACTTTGCTGACACTGTTACTGAGGGTGACAGTTGTGACGGTGTGTTTTACAATGTGGATACCTGTTTTCTGGAAACTAGACTGACGCCTTGTCTTGACTACAAAATGAAGTCAAGATAAGTTAGGTTGACGTACAGCCACTGCAGTAACTGCAGTGGTTCATGACCACACTATGCCCCCGCTGTCAGTGTTGTGTGTCCTCACCAGGAGTGCTTCCACTTAACCGTGTGGAGTACTGTGGGGCACTGACAGCTGGAGCAGCCCTGCCCCAGAGTGGCTGGCTTCTGGCTGTGTAAATAACATAGTCTCTACACAGACAATGCGTTGCTCTAACTACATCAAGCTAAGTGCTATGCCTCTCGTGGAGGTGGAGTTATTAGGTTGGTGTAGTGGGCAATTTACATCAGTGGGAGCAATGTTGTAGCGTAGAAACTTACAGAATTAGATTGACGCAAGCTGCCTTAAGTTGACCTAACTCTATAATGTAGGCCAAGCTTTGGACTACCAGCCCAGTTTGCGTCTCATTCTCTCAGACACAGCTTTCATACATGTGTGATTTCCAGGCTTGGTTACTGTAACTCATATGTGGGTATGAAAGGTGGGGTCGGATTGAGGGAGAGATCCCCAACAAATCAACAAAGAATTAGATGGAGATAATGGGAAGGAGAAAAGGGATTTATAGTCAGAGCCCGAGGTTTTTGCACATGCAAAATAACACTAAATACAATTTAAATCAATGTATACAAAGAATTAAAATGAAAAACTTACCCCGCAGTGATAGCTCCTGTGGCTATTGTCCCGTGAGGCTTGGCCTTGCTCCCCACTTCAGGAGTTGGTGAACTCCATACACAAGGTTGCAGTGCTGCTCAGCTTCGGTCTGGCCACCCCTCGCTTTGCAATCCTTCACCTCTCACCCTCAGAGCCTCCCATTCCCCAAGGGGCAGGACCTGACACGTCTCCCTTCCCTCTGTGGATAAAACAAAATTCCCCAAAAATAAAATGAAAAAAGATAAAGAATGTTGGGGGGGGGCTATTTATAGTCAGGAATTAACAGACACAATGGTAGGGGAATTAAAAATAAGGTCACTATTTTACAATAAATAAACAGTACTTGTGTACTTAGTCCGTTCCATCTGAGCATCTCAAAACACTTTATAAACAGTTAAACCTTATTCTATCTCTGTGCAATAGATATTTATCTTGATTTTACTTGTGGGGAAACTGAGGCATTGAAGAGGTGCTATCAGTGAGAAACTGTGCCAACTGGGACTTTTTTCTTTTTAGAACTTTTGTAGGAAGGCCAAGCTGCTATTAAACTTAGGCTAGTCTACACTGGCAACACTAAAGCGTTGCTGCGGCAGCGCTTTAACGTGGCTTGTGTGGTCGCGGCAGAGCGCTCTTTAAAAAAACCACCTCCATGAGGGGCGTAGCTACCAGCGCTGGTGCACTGTCTAGACTGGCATGTTACAGCGCTGAAACTTGTTGCTCTCAGGCAGGTGTTTTTTCACACCTCTGAGTGAGAAAGTTGCAGCACTGTAAATTACCAGTGTAGACAAGCCCCTAGTCTCTATCAGCCAGCTGAGCTCAAGCACACACTCTTTTGAATCAGTCTTCAACTTGTTCAGAATCAGTTGAATAAGCTCCCCAGATATTTTTAGAACTTACGTCTTGGTTTCCTCGGTGATGCTGTAATGTCACTACTCTGTTTCTAAGCATGCAGCTAAAATTCCATCAAAAATGTGTATGATAACATGAAATTATGGGGATTTATTTGGGCAGCTGCAGCAGCCTTTTTGTATTTCTTTGAACTCTGTGGTGTAACTTGGATTTAGGGGTTTTCTTTAAGAATGTTGTTTATCTCAATATGCAATGTAGTTATAGCTGTGTCAGTCCCAGGATATTAGAGAGACAAGGTGAGTGAGGTAATATATTTCATTGGACCAGCTTCTGTTGGTGAGAGAGACAATTTTTTGAGCTTACATAAAACTCTTCTTCAGGTCTGGGTAAGGTATTTCCAGCATCACAGCACAAAGCAAGGTGGAACAGAGGGTTTAGTTTAAGTAGTTAGCACATATTGTAAGGGAACATTCGAGGTAAAGTGGTCCGTTAACACCTCCACAGTCATAAGACAAAAAGAGGGGTTTAGTGGATTACAGATTTTTGTAATAACCCATAAATTCAGTGTTTCTGTTCAGTCCATGATTTTTAGTGTCTGTCAGAGTACATAAGCTCCCAGGCTCATCTTTTGAAAGTGCGGTGTAAGTTTCCTTTGAAGATGAGGACTCATATGTCAGATATAGAGTGATCGCTCTCTGAAAAGTGTTCACCAACCAGTGATGTGGTGTTTTTGTCTTATTTTCCTATGAGAGTTCATTCAAGAGCATAGTGATTGTCTGGTTTCACCCACATAGTTGTTGAGGTAGGCTTTTCAAAGATCAAGACACATCAACTGGAGAAGAAGCAGAATATGAGTCAACAGTGTGTCCTTGTTGCCAAGAAGGCTAACGGCACATTGGGCTGCATTAGTAGGAGCATTGCCCGCAGATTGAGGGAAGTGATTATTCCCCTCTATTTAGCTCTGGTGAGGCCACATCTGGAGCATTGCATCCAGTTTTGGGCCCCCCACTACAGAAAGGAGGTGGACAAATTGGAGTCCAGCAGAGGGCAATGAAAATGATTAGGGGGCTGTGGCACATGGTTTATGAGGAGAGGCTGACGAAATTGGGGTTATTTAGTCTGCAGAAGAGAAGAGTGGGGGGCGGGAATTTGATAGCAGCCTTCAATTACCTGAAGGGGGGGTTCCAAAGAGGATGGAGCTAGGCTGTTCTCAGTGGTGACACATGACAGAACAAGGAGCAATGGTCTCAAGTTGCAGTGGAGGAGGTCTAGGTTGGATATTAGGAAAAACTATTTCACTAGGAGGGTAGTGACGCACTGGAATGGGTTACCTAGGGAGGTGGTGGAATCTCCATCCTTAGAGGTTTTTAAGGCCTGGCTTGACAAAGCCCTGGCTGGGATGATTTAGTTGGGGTTGGTCCTGCCTTGAGTAGGGGGTTGGACTAGATGACCTCCTGAGGGCTCTTCCAACCCTAATCTTCTATGATTCTAACTCAAAGCGGCATTAGACCCTGCCAGATCAACAGATTCAAAACCAACAAGGAGTCTGGTGGCACCTTAAAGACTAACAGATTTATTTGGGCATAAGCTTTCGTGGATAAAAACCTCACTTCTTCAGATGCATGGATTCAAAACCTGCACTCCTATCTCATCTGCTGCAATGTTCAACACACCTTTCAAGATCCATGGGTTCTATACATGCCTATCACAACATGTGGTGTACCATATCCAGTGCACTAAATGCCCCTGTGGGTATCACCAACTATGTGGGTGAAATCAGATAATTACTATACCCTCAAATTACACAGGAAAATAAGACAAAAACACCATGTCACTTGTGAGTGAACACTTTTCATGTGCCAGCAATGCCCCTCTGCCATGTACATTGGCCAAACTGGACGGTCTCTATGCAAAAGAATAAATGGACACTGTGATGCTCTGTAGCTCGAGGGAACACCCTACACCCCCATGTTCATCTTTATAAAATGATTGTGTGGTATCCAATGCAAAGTTTGTCATGTTGGGTGTCTTCAGAAGGTTCATAATGCACTGAGCATGGTTGTTAGAGTGATGTTATAGTAATTGTTACAGTAATGTTATAGTAAGGTTATAGGTTATAATTTCATGTATATAGTTATGAGTCTGAAAATGTCTCCTCATGTCTTAAAGCAAGCCCATGCAAAAACTCGCCAAGAGCAGAGAGGCAGTTCACACCTTGTCAGGGCATGGATGGGACAAACCCAACCCAGCCTCACAGGAACAATGGACACTGGCTTAGGCAGCAACAAAAGAATCTGTTAGACCCTCAAGGGAGTCAACCCCTTCCTTTTGGCAGTTTGGGACTCTGATGAGGTAATGCTCACCTGACTCTGAAGCAGGGGAAGGGGGCAAAGCCAAGAGGAAAGAAAGGACATGATAAAAGGGAGAGACATTTTGCCATGCTCTCTCTCTTCCACCTACATCTACAGACACCACTGCCACCAAGCGACTGAAGCGCTGATCAAAGGGGAGAGCCTGACTGAAAAGTAACCAGCCAGCCTGTGGTGAGAAACACCTAAGATTGTAAGGACATTGAAAGTGTTAAGATCAGCTTAGAATGCCTTTTGCTTTTATTTCATTGACCAAATCTGACTTGCTATACTTTGACTTATAATCACTTAAGATCTATCTTTATAGTTAATAAATTTGTTTGTTTATTCTACCTGAAGCAGTGTGTTTTGGTTTGAAGTGTGTCAGAGGCTCCCCTTGGAATAACAAGCCTGGTACATATCAATTTCTTTGTTAAATTGACTAACTTATGTAAGTTTGCAGCGTCCAGTGGGCATAACTGGACACTGCAAGACGGAGGTTCCTAGGGTTGTTTCTGGGACCAGAGATATTGGCTAGTGTCATTCTCTTGCAAGTAGCTGGGAGCAGCTTACATGCCGAGGCTGTGCGTGAATAGCCCAGGAGTGGGGGTTCTCACAGCAGAGCAGGGTAAGGCTGGCTCCCAGAGGCAAGGATTGTAGAGGCCTAGCAGATCACCGGTCCAGATAACACCAGAGGGGTACATCACAGACACAAATCAGACATCAAGAATTGTAACGTTCAAAAACCAGTAGGAGAGCACTTCAATCTCCCTGGACATTCAATAACAGACTTAAAAGTCGTAATTCTTCAACAAAAAAAACTTCTTCAAAAACAGACTTCAACAAGAAACTGCAGAACTGGAATTAATTTGCAAACTTGACACCATCAAATTAAGCCTGAATAAAGACTGGGAGTGGCTGGGTCACTACAAAAAATAATTTTCCCTCTGTTGATATTCACCCCTTCTTGTCAACTGTTGGGAATGGGTCACTTCCACCCTAATTGAATTGGCCTCGTCAGCACTGACCCCCGACTTGGTAAGGCAACTCCTATCTTGTCATGTGCTGTATATTTATACCTGCTTACCATATTTTCCACTCCATGCACCTGATGAAGTGGATTATATCCCACGAAAGTTTATGCCCAAATAAATTTGTTAGCCTCTAACGTGCCACAAGGACTCCTCATTGTTTTTTCACAGAGCGATCACTATATCTGACCTATCCGTCCTCCTCCTCAAAGGAAATTTACACAACGCTTTCAAAAGACAAGCCTGGGAGCTTAAATTCATTACTCTCATAGACCCTAAAAATCATTCACTGAACAGACACACTTAATTTATGGGTTATTACAACAATCTGTAATCCACTAAACCCCTCTTTTTGTCCTATGACTGCAGAGGTGTTAACGGACCACTTTACTTTGAATGTTCCCTTACAATATGTGCTAACTATTTAAGCTAAACCCTCTGTTCCACCTTGCATTATCCTGTGATGCTGGAAGTACCTTCCCCAGACCTGAAAAGGGGCTCTGTGGCTTGAAAGGTTCTCTCTCTCTCACCAACAGAAATTGGTCCAATAAAAGGTATTACCTCATCCACCTTGTTTATCTCAATAGATATGTGGTAGCTGATCACATATGAATGAGGTGTTCCTGAATTTGCTATGATTTTTCTGTATTTTGTACCTTTTTATATGTTTAGTCACAATTGGTATCCACGAAGGACATTTAAAAAAAAAGTAAAATGCTTACAGTAATAACAAATTCTTTTATAATTTGTAAAGATTTGTAAGAAATAAGCATTATATAATGCTTTTCAGTAATTCTTTAAATTTGCAAATACCTTGCTTCAGTCATTGTATGACCATGTAGAAAATGTCCTTATTCTATAGCTGTCCCTGAGGGTTGAAAAACTTGTTAGGTTTTTTTTATCCTAGAGTGTGTTAAAACATGCTAAGAATTCAGATAGAACCTGCTGAACACTTCATTATTTAGATCTCTGTATGCAAACATTAGGATTTTTGTCGGCATCGTCATGGTTTTTTCTTTTCTTAAAACAGGAGTCTGAAAAAAGTGGAAAATCAAATAAAATAAACATAGGTAAGTAAACAAATTCTTCTTAGTCAAAGCTATAGTAGTCCCATATTGAAATGTATATATCCTCATGTTCTGTCAGTGATCTTGTGTAATGCTTATTTTCTGTTTACTTATAGCTGCTTTACTAGTAATGTTAAAGTACAGTTATGCTTAGATTATGCTTAACCATGATAGTGAATCTGTAATGGGGTGGCACCCATCTCTCACAAGCGACCCTGGTCGAGTGTGTGCGTGCCTGCAGTTTCTCAATTTCTAGGCTCACAGTGACCCCTGTGAGTTGCTGGGCTTGTCAGGCGGGTCTTTGGTGACTCAGCTGTCCCACTAACTCACACACACAATTTGTTTGCAAACAAACAAACTCTTTCTGGGGTGTAAGTCCAAAAAGTCCTACAGCCTCCCCGGGCTCAGTCCTTTAACAATCCGACTGGGCCCATCACGGTACCCCTCTGTTGGCAATGTCTCTTTAGCTCTCCGCGGGCTCTGGTCCTCAGTCTGACCAACAGGTCCTATTTCAATACACTCGTTGGTCAGTTTGTGTGAAGGTGCCTGCTCTGGATGGAACAGACCCCCCCCCCCCCCAGGGCTTCATCCCTGGAGGCTCTTCACCTGCCCTTTAGTTCTGTGACCCCAGCTCTCCAGCTGGGTCAGTCTCAGTTCAGCCCCCTTCCAGGGGGGGCCGTAACAGGTCCACGTACAGTCCCTTCCCTGGGCCTGTCTAAACTCTCTTCTCTCAGGGCAAAGCCACTTCCCCAATAGCTGTTTGGAGTGGGGGGAGAGACCCCGGCCCACCCACTACTCCAGGTCCCAGCCCTCTAAGTAGCAGCCACATGCCATGTCCCTTTAACTAATTACATTTCCCTGGGCCACTTCCCCATAATTGAGTCTTGGTAGCCATCCAGAAACTATACCCTCGTTTTCCCGCTCCCTGACAGCAACTACCTGCCTTAGCCACTGCAGCCAGCCAGGAGCACCTCTAGCTCCCCTGGTCCCTGCAAGGATCTATCCAGCCCTTTCAGCTCCTTTTTATATGAGCCTTCTGGGCCCTGACTGGCTGGTCCCTGCAACCCCTCTCGTTGGCTGTGTCCCACACAGCCACTCTGGGCACCTTGGAGATGTGTATATTGCTCTTTCCTGGGGTGGGGGTGATACAGGGCCACAAGGCCTCCAGGCCTCCTATCACAGAATCCTTTTAGAAACACTTCCTATTGGTGGTTCACTATTGGAAAATTATTTGTGAATTAACATATAGTATGTTTTAATATTTCCAGTAACTTCCATTTTATGTACTACCCTTAAGATCAGTGATTTGCATGGTATTAAAATATGGTGAAGTGTTCTTTGTAGTATGCTATCTTTAATAAATGCACTATTTGGTATTCATATCTTTCTTTTTATGGCCAGGATATTGGAGCGTGTGAAAAGTGGGGGTAAATTTTGAGGTGTACGGGGAGTATCTGGTACTTCAAGTTAGATATAAGCTCAAAGCACAAAATTTAGATAATCTTTGAGTCCTCCTTTATTCTCCTAATGTTTGTGGGTGTTAAGAGCTAGAGTTTTTTGTTTGATTGAATCTCATCAAATTACAGCATATTTGTGGCCTCAAATAAGAGGCTCTAATGGGCTGGAGTTCTTTACAGTCTGTTATGAAGGTGATGCTGGGTGTCGTCTTCAGGTTGGTGTCCTTAGTGTCTTGAAGCAGTGCTCAGTCACCAAGTTCTTGGGAAGCTGCTGAAAAAGAACTGGTATTGTTCTCATGCCAAACCTATTACTGCTGTAAATACAAAGGTATGAAACAAAACTTGCTGTTACTGCTTTTGCTCATTGATATGCTATGGCATAACAGAAGACCAAAGCCAAATATTTATGAGACACATTCTTGGATTCTGAGTCTAGGAAAATGGATTTTAAGAAAATTAATAGTGCCTGTAATCCTCCTGCCAATGGTGTCGGGAGCAACAAGGACTGGTCTTTCTTACTAGGGGGTTCTCTACAGTTGGCTTAACTATGGCTTGAGCCCCCACCCAGTGACCTGGGAACAATGCTGGGCATCTTTGATAGGCAAATCTGTACCTGCTCGCAAGCACATTCAAGAGAGGTTTAAAGAAAGGAACTCTATTTGGGGAAAGAAAGGAAAAGGTCAGGCTGAACTGGGACAAACATTGCAATTTAACACCTGCTACTTCGGTGTGCAGAAATCACAGTCCTGAATAATGGAGCCTGTAGGTGCTCTGGGGCTGGTGCACCCATGGGGAAAAAAATGGTGGGTGCTGAGCACCCACCGGCAGCCCCCTATCAACGGCTCTCCCTCCCCACAGTGCCTCCTGCGCCCCCGGTGGACCCCGCCGATCAGCACATCCCCCTCCTCCCAGTGTTTTGCAGTTTCAGGAGATGCTGTGCGGGGAGGAGCAAGGGCGCAGCATGTCAGGGGAGGGGGCGGAACTGGGCAGGGAGGAGGCGGGACGGGAAGAGGTGGGGCAGGGGCTGAGTGGGGATGGGAAGAAGCAGGGTGAAGGTGAGGTATTGGGGGAAAGGATGGAGTGGGGGCAGGGCCTGGACGGAGCCGAGGGGAGCACGTATAGAAACTCGGCGCTTATGATTGAGCCCTGAGTGGCTGGTGCAGTTTTCCTGCCTCCCAACTTCCCCATTCATAGTTCAAGGGTCCAGGAGTTACAGGAAAATCAAGTATCAGAGGGGTAGCCATGTTAGTCTGAATCTGTAAAAAGCAACAGAGGGTCCTGTGGCACCTTTGAGACTAACAGAAGTATTGGGAGCATAAGCTTTCGTGGGTAAGAACCTCACTTACCCACGAAAGCTGGGTGGGGGGTTCAGGGCCGAGGGCTGGGTATGGGGGGGGACTCGAGGTCAGGGCAAAGGGCTGGGTTGTGTGGAGGTGCAGGGCACAAGGCTGGGAGCCGGGGGGGTTCAGGGCAGAGGGTTGGGTGTTGGGGGGGGGGGAGACTCGAGGTCAGGGCAGAGGGCTGGGGGGTGTGGAGGTGCAGGTTCTTACCTCCAAGTCTTGCATCTGAAGAAGTGAGGTTCTTTCCCACGAAAGCTTATGCTCCCAATACTTCTGTTAGTCTCAAAGGTGCCACAGGACCCTCTGTTGCTTTTTACAGGAAAATCAAGGTGCCTGTTTCTTGGGCAGCTTTGGGTCTTTATCACCTTTCCTGCTGTAATAATTTCAGCAGCTAGGACAAGGAGATCTCACCAGAATCTTTAGGCCTGTGTAGACTGGAAACTCCTCTGCTTTACTATAGTCCAGGGGTAGGCAACCTTTCAGAAGTGGTGTGCCGAGTTTTCATTTATTCACTTTAATTTAAGGTTTTGTGTGCCAGTAATACATTTTAATGGTTTTTTTAGAAGGGATCTCTCTCTAAGTGTATATTATATAACTAAACTATTGTTGTATGTAAAGTAAACAAGGTTTTCAAAATGTTTAAGAAGCTTCATTTTAAATTAAATTAAAATGCTGATCTTACGTCGCCAGCCTGCTCAGCCCGCTGGGTGGGGGGTTCAGGGCTGAGGGCTGGGTGTTGTGTGGGGACTTGAGGTCAGGGCAGAAGGCTGGGTGTGGGGGGGTTCAGGGCAGAGGGCTGAGTGTGGGGGGGGGACTCGAGGTCAGGGCAGAGGGCTGGGGGGTGTGGAGGTGCAGGGCAGAAGGCTGGGTGTTGGGCAACTCGAGGTCAGGGCAGAGGGCTGGGGGGTGTGGAGGTGCAGGACAGAGGGCTGGGGGTTGGGCAACTGGAGGTCAGGGCAGAGGGCTGGGGGGTGTGGAGGTGCAGGACAGAGGG